AAATGAAATCGAGCGCGCTTAAATGAAAAAACAATATTTTCTTTTTTTAATATATATTTTTAATATACAAATAAATAATAAATTCCGGCTCTTTTCATCGATTCTCAAGGAAAACAACTATAGTTGACAAGAAGTCTTTCAGTATACAGATGATGCGTCAGGTAACAAAGCTAAAGGTATACGTGAGTTCCACATTTCAGCTCCGTAGGAGCTGCGCTAACAAGCTTTTTCAATTACAAAATTATATCTCATCAGAAATCTTCAAAGACTAAAGAAAAACTTCTTAGAGGATACAATTGATTTCATATCTCGAACTTCGGCTTAGAACTTTTTTGAGGTAGTTGTGTGATTGTATGATTTCAATCTCTGATGTATAAATGCAGGCTTTGAGCTTCAATAAAGTGTTCTACTTGATATCTTTTCGAGTCTGATAATGTTCTAGTCTTTTGTTGGTTTCAAAAAAATTAAAAGTAGCAATAGGACTAGAGCTGCTGAATCAATATTGAGAAATCTCCGTTCTTGAATTTTCAGATTCCAATATATATATGTTTCAACAATTTAATAGTGAAATTGTCATATCTATCAGATAACTTTCACTAAAACTTTGAGACTTTAACCAATTGAAGCCACGTCAACTAAACTCTGTCACAGTCCCCTTCACCTAGGCCCTCCTACTGTTACGATATTAGAAATAATTTTGGATTATTAAAAAAAATCTATTTCACTGAACTGAAACTTTACAAAAAGAAGCCTCAAACAAGCATTAAACATACTTTCAATAAGGTAATCAAATCGACCAAATTGTTGATAAATACGATAGACATATTGGTGTAGCACATTTAACACTAATACACGATTCATCATCACTTTTTATTGTACCATCCATATTGAATATATATCTAATTGGAAAAAAATATAATTGATGAACAAGTTTAGCAGTTGATGTTCGTTTTTCATTATTAATCATTGATGTTGAATCGAATTCATCATTCATTTCGATAAATCAACGTTGACATGTTGAATAAGCTATTGTTTTAGAAAAACAAAACAAATGAAAAAAAATTCTTGTTTTTTTTCTCAATATTTACCTGTTTTTAAGGCTTCACTAACACGAATTTCTTCTATAGATCCAATTTGGGTTGAAATTAATAATTGATCAAAATCAAATAAATTTGAATAACCAAGTAATTGAAGAATTTTTTTTATTAAACCAAGATAAACAATTATTAAGCGTGTACTACTATTTTGATATTCAAGTAATTGATCTATTAAAATAAAAGACAATTATAATGGATTGAAATTATTATTTGAAAGAAAACTTACTAATTGCATTTGTCATTAGAAAACGTGCTATAACCATAGGATAACACATTTGCTGAATAGGCCACGAGAAGTTCTTAAGAATAATTTAGTCATTGATTATATATTTCAAAAGAAGATTATTTATTGTTAATATTAGGAAAAGAAAAATTCGTTCTCACTAGACTTCATACTTTAACTATCACGATAGCCAGTGAACTCCTATGACAAAACCATTCTTAAGTTGCATGAAACTCTACGCTCCATTACTTTCGAGGGCGGATCGCTTCAAATGATGGACAGTTTCTCAGTTCGTATTTCGTCAAATAGTATCAGACTACCTATTCTACATTTTCTGAAAAACATCCTCTCATGCTAGAAGTTTTAATCGAAACATGGTAGGGCAATTCTTTTCTATGTTTCTATTCAACCGTATGACATTTTTCTGATTACTTCTTTAAAAAACTTGTCTTAGATGACAAAGATTTTTCTTTTTCTTACTTTAATTTCCTTATCATTAATTGATCGACCAAGAATACGAAAAGTAAGTTCATAATATCTTGATAAAATAGTTGAATCTTTTTCGAATGTATTACATTTGCTAATTCGACAAATCACCACAGAACACCTAATCGAAATTTTAAAAAAATCCTTATTATAAAAATAACCTTTTAAAGCATTTGGTCCAGCATTAGGATTATGTTTTATAATTCGATATAATTCACCTTGAATTCTTATTAAATCTGCTTCTTTTTAATTCTATTTTATAATTCATACAAAATTATACAGAAAAAAAGAATTTCTTTTATAATACTTTAACAAATTTATTAAGATTTTCTTCGGCAGTCAATCATACATTATAAGCATTTTCGTCACATGTTGTAAATAATGTTTCCACACTACCTTTAACTAATTTAAAATAATTTTCATTGTTACCTCTAAATGAGAAGAACATTCGAGGAGAGATGAAAACCAGAAAAATCAAATTTTACTTGATTATTAATGTTTCTGATTTTGTTGTTGAAAGTAACCTTAAAACTTCAAGTGATTTACTTAGTTTATCCATTTTGTTTAATTTATATTCAATTCATTTATTTTAAAACCAAATAGATAAATGACTAAGTTTAAACATTATTTGATAATCATAATGAATGAATGAATAGTCGACTGAAAAAGACTAACATCGATTGAAAATTCGTAAACACCGTTGACATTTCTATTCTTTTTATTAATGGATGCCGCTAGATTACATCTTTATAAAATAAGACTGTATAAAGTGAAAACCTCATCATCAACCAAAATTCTTATAACTAAAATATAGTCTTTGCTACACGTTCAATAGGGATATGTTTCGATCTTGTAAATACTTAAAGTAAATCTAAAGACATTATTTTGCGCTGGTGTGGGTCGAAGTACTTCATTTATTGACATGCTCCCATCTAGAGCCACGCTCTCTGCCATAGTCCCCGTCATGACTTGGTTTAATATTTTATTTCTTACATTTTTGTCTCATTTTTTTTGTCTTATTATTGTATATTATTAATAAAAAAAGTATCTGATGAAAAATAAAATAATGACGTATGATGTCTTTATTTATTTAATGAAAAAGAAATTTTTTTTTTCTTTCTATGGTGTAACATTTGTTACTATGACAGACATGTTTTTGTTGCAGTCACATGTCAAGTCAAATTTCGTATTGATTTCTTTTTTTTTTCTGTAGTGAAAATTCTATTCAGATTGGCGTACTTGTTCAGAAGTAAATAATAATGAACACTTTTGTACATATTTGGCCAAAAATCTGTAATGATTCTCATAGTTATGATGTGTTCTCAAATGACTTATATGATATTAAATTTTGCTGTTATTCAGTCATTTCTTAACTAGATTTCCTCGTTATCCTTTGATGAAAAAATTTTTGGATCAGATCAGAAGTCATCCATAATGGCATGATCAACAGTATAGATTCAAATTGATCAAAGGAATTCTGAATAGTTCTTCATCTCTACATCATAATAATATATTTAGAAAAATTTAAGTAGGAAAAAACGCAATCCAATTCTTCAATCTGTATTGAATCGATTTGAAAAAGATTTGATGTGGAAATCAACTAAAAACTCATTGTAATTTCATGCTTTCAAAAATATAAAACTAATATATATATACTTGTCTTTAATTTTTCTAGAATTGATTTATACCTGTGTACTTTGGGTGTGGGTGTGCCTATGGCTGTGATTTCTTCTTCTTCAATCAACCACACTCCATCTTATGAGATTTTTTTATTTGAACTATTGAATATCTAATGAAGTTCATGATTATTTTACTTATGAGGAAAGTTCTAATAACAAAAAAATTGATTTTTGAACTTTGACTTGACGTCTTGCCGTAGAGACAGATTTTAGCAAGAGTCATTTATCATCAAAATTTCAAGAACGAACATCAGATCTATCAATTTGTACGAATGATGTAAAAGCCAAACTATTACTATACCTACATCTTTTAAGAGAAAACTAGCAACAAATTTTGAAACACTAGCAAAAAACCTATTTCGGAAAACGAAACTCACAGGATGCACATTACATAATGCTGTTAGTCATGAATGAAAATCGATTCATCAGTTCGAAGATTTCAAAAATATCTAAAGCACAGAAATTTTATCTTGAGGTACGTTTCACGGTCATATATGATCTACGGATCAAATTAATAACACAATAAAGAAACTTTTTTTGGGAATGGTACAAAAGTCGAAGTCAATATTTTGTTTATTAAATACATGGAAGAAATATTAACTTACTTCTAATAGAATATTATAAATCAATGAATTTAAATTAATCGTTGATTTGTCTTTTTTTTATCGATAATATGTACGTTAAGAGAAAAAAAAGAAATGAAAAAATGACCATATATTTCATTTAAAGTGTTGTATGTCAAATTAGAATCCAAACAAACAGACACTAGTTAAACAAGAGAAGGGATATAAGAATAACAATATTTATATAGATGTATCTTTATATTTTACTCGTGGAAATCTAGTGTCCTTGTGTATATTTTGAATTTTACTTGCAATCGTTGTATGTATTGTAGGTATATAGTTTTGTTGTTTTCGTGTCGTAGTATATTATAACATATGAGCAACCATCTTAATTCTATAAATGCTGTATCATATATAATTAAATATTATTAGAAGCAAATTATGTCTTTTAATTCATTTCTCCTCTCATAAATAAAATACATTTGTTCTTAGTGAAAATCTGTTAGAATAATATCTATTGAATATGAAGTGTGATTATGAAGGACAAACAGAATCAAACTCATGCTCACATCTACACGTGGCATTATTTCGATACTCATTCTTTCCATCTATGTTGGAAAAAACCTTGGCAATAATGCAAACAATATTGATTCATTTTATTATATGTTTATTTTTCTTCTTCCCTGATTTGTTGAGATGATGATGCAAACTTCAAAAGAAAACATAATGACTTGCGTATAACAACCAAATCAACAACTAAATGAACTTCTGTTGTATTTTCAAGAAAAGATATTTTAGTCATGGAAAATAATTATGTTTTCAACATTTTTACTCTAACTACACAAATGAATTCTTTTTTTTCGTTCTTTTTTTCTTTTTTTGATAAGACATTTATTTTATTGATTAAAGATGTGTTGCATATAGAAACTTAGATAAAATAAGAGAATTTTCTAATGAAACCAGATAGGAGTAAAGAAAAAGAAAAACAATGGAAACAAAAAATATAGCGACTTATTTTGAAATTCTATTTGTAACTTTTTGTTTTTTCTTTCCTACAAATCATGCGCAATTGATCGATAATACAATTGTTCTGTTATTAGTGACACATGTTTCGTCAGTGTCATTTTGTTAATAAAAAAAAACTCTTGAAATAAAAAAACGAACGAACAAAAAATTGAGCAAAGAAATCCTTCAAGTCTTCTATAGCAACAAAAATAACAAACCAAAAAATAAAAAGTGTCAACACGAAAAAAAGAAAAAAAAAACCTATTGAAAAAAATCATTTACGAAAAACACAACGTCAATATTATCATCAAAATCATCCAAATGGACAAAAAGCAACATTCAAAATCAACTGCTAGTGGATCATCTTCTCCTTCCACAATACATAAACCAAAAAAATCATCATCAACAACAGCAGCAGCATCCTTACCAACAACAACGACAAGCAGAAATGCAGTACTACCTCAAACTGCTCGTCGGATTCTTCAAAATTTCCTTTTGGTATGGCTCGATGCCAATTTGCAAGAATCAGATAACGATTTTAAGAATTCATTGCAACATCTTCGAAAAATTGTGGCATCTATCACAACGTTTACGGATGCCCAACAATGCGTTAATTTCCTAAGTGAAATCAAAAAAGAAAAGGTATTTATGATCGTATCAGGTTCTTTGGGTCGTCAAATAGTACCAGAAATCGAAGCATTGCCACAACTGGAAGCAATTTATGTGTTTTGTGGTAACCAATCGGTTCATGAACAATGGGCTAAAAAAATAAGCAAGGTTAAGGGTGTATACACAAAAATAGAACCAATTTGTCAAGCCCTTGAAATTGATCGACAACGATGTGATCAAGCTATGATCCCCATCAGCTTTAATGGTCGTGATGCCTTATTTATGTATACACAATTGTTAAAGGAAGCACTCTTGGAGATCGAAGATGATGATAAAAAATCCATCAAAGATCTGGTCGATTATTGTCGTGAACAGGATGATATTTCTGAAGATCAAATTAAACTTGTTGAACGTGAATATCGTGATCATACACCAATATGGTGGTATACGGCGGAGACATTTATTTATCCCATGCTCAATCGTGGACTCCGACAAATGGACGTTGACATCATCCTTAAAATGGGCTTTTTCATCCGTCATTTACATCAACATATTACCGAACTATATGGTGAACAACAAGGAAACATGCCAACAACTTTTCAAGTCTTCCGTGGACAAGGTTTGTCCATGGAAGATTTTGAAAAAATGAAAAAAACCAAAGGAGGACTTATGTCCTTTAATAATTTTCTGTCAACAAGTCGCAACCGTGAGATATCTTTCAAAAACTTTGCACGACCAGCAGCATCTAATACAAATTCAGTTGGCATTCTCTTCGTTATGACCATTGACACGGCTATTTGTACAAAATCCTCAACACCATTTGCTGAAGTAAGCAAAGTTGGCTACTACAAAGATAAAGAGGAAGAAATACTATTTTCAACACATGCGATTTTTCGTATCGATCGCATTGAACAAATTCCCGATAATCACTGTGATCGGCTATACGAAGTTAATCTCACTATTGTCGGTAATGACAATCACGAATTAAACACACTTACAGCACACATACGTAAGGATCTTGGTGGTCGCACGGGATTGTCTCGACTTGGTTTCATACTTATTAAAGTGGGCGAACCTGCAAAAGCTGAACAACTCTATCAGATCCTCATTGAAAAGGCGCCTTCTGATAAAGATAGAGCAGATTACAATCATCAACTTGGCTGGGTGTATGATGACATGGGCGAGTATTCAAAAGCACTTTTATATTACGAAAAATCACTGGATATCTACAAGAAAATTCTCTCTCCAAATGATCCCAGTTTGGCTTGGTCCTACAACAACATCGGTATGGTGTATAATAACATGGGCGAGTACTCGAAAGCACTTTCATCGTATGAACGATCACTTGAAATCCAGAAAATAGCTCTCCCTCCGAATCATCCCGACTTGGCTGCTTCCTACAACAACATCGGTATAGTGTATAATAACATGGGCGAGTACTCAAAAGCACTTTCATCGTATGAACGATCACTTGAAATCCGTAAAATAGATCTCCCTCCGAATCATCCCGACCTGGCTGCTTCCTATAACAACATCGGTATGGTGTATAATAACATGGGCGAGTACTCAAAAGCACTTTCACATTACGAGAAAGCTCAAGAAATCTGGAACAAATCACTTCCTGCAAATCATCCACATATTGCTCTAGTGAAAAGAAACATTGAAGATGTAAAAAAGAAAATGTAATTGGTTTTTTTTCGATT